AGTCTTGAGATTGATGAAAGAGGGGGAGGTGGGGGGAGAAAGAGAGAGAGAGAGAGAGAGAGAGAGAGAGAGAGAGAGAGAGAGAAAGAGAGATCTAAAGAAAGAGAGAGGGGGTGGGGATAATACTAATATTGAGTTTGAAATCCCTGATTTAATTATTTTACCTTTTATTCTGTCAGCTAGAAGAAAGTGAGATACAAACATGCACTCGACAATGAACCGATGTCTTTCCCCTGGAGGGGCGCTGAAACTAACGATAAAATCTCATATCTAGGTAAACGACAATGAACTTCTCAACCAAATTTTGTAAGAAGCGTACTTATCAGACGTACATCTAAGACAAACTTCCACTCCTCCCAACCACCGTTTTTGACTCCGTAGCAGTACACAGTCGGCTTCAGGCTGGGCTCAATTCTGTCAGAGAAAACAAAGCGAAAGAATGAATAAAATAAGAAAACAAAATAATATGTTTAAAAGTCAAGTAAACGTGGACAAATTATTGTGTCACAATCTGTGCGAGTTAACGTTAGAGTTTCACGGCACTTTCAATACAAACAGACCTTATAAGTGCCAAAGATTAGAGGTGTCACATGAGAATTATGTATGAAACAAAGAAGGAGAGATATAGGCGATAGATGTTTGATAGGAAAGCAGGCGCAAATCACACCAGAGCACCCACCAACCACCCTTACAGAATCCGAGCCACAGCTCTAAACACTGTTGAACCTGCTCTAACGTCCACCTGGCAAAGACAATCACCTTTTTGTTTTATTTTGTTTTGATACGTGTTTTACGGTGCTCGCAACTGCATAAAGTCATGTGAGCGCGCGGGACCCATTACACATTTTCACTTTGGTAGTACCTATTTTTGAATTTTGCCGGGTGGTGGCCGAAGACTATTCTTATCGATTTTGGACCACCAAGTGATCTTTAGCGAGCACAACATGGACAAGGGACCTTCTCGATTTTTCGACCTTATCCGAGGGGTGTGGCTGAAAGACAGCAGTAAGGAGGTGCCAAGGAGTAGCAGAAGTAAGGCTGCAGAAAGAGTCAGGAACCCAGAAGAAGGGGTAAAGGGGGAGGGGGTTGGGGCAGAAAGTGGAGACGAAAGCAGACGACATAACATAGAGTGCAGGAAAAGAGGTGAAAGGGGAAAATTTTACCATCGCTGTCCAGTTTCTAACACGGGACAGCGTAACCTCTAGGCTACGAGAGCCCCCCCTCCCACCCCCACCCCCACAATCACTGTACAAACTGCCACTTCCCACTTCTCCATTGAGGTTCTTCTGTATAATAACTACAGCATTGTTCAAGACATCCACTTGTCTAAAGAAACCTGTGTCCTCAATTGGTCGCTTTAAAGGACAAGCCGGTTAACCCAGGTTTCGGGGTTTTCCAGAAATCTTGACCTACACCAAAAGTGGGCATTGCCCTACCTATAGGAGAAATTTGGTGTCATTGGTGTGTATATTTGTTTGGTAATAGAGAAAACTCTCCTGCCTTCTCTTTTAAAGAAACTGAACAGCAATTTTCGGGATAGCCTCCTCGTGCTTAAAATGACCAATTGTCGAAGAGAAAAGTGACCCACGTAAACAGCTGGCCATCACAGGCAGGACTGGTCAAATTGAAAAATAAACAAAACCCTACTATTCTCAGATTCCAAAGAAATGTATCAGACATGGAAGACCAAGTGCCATGATAAAACAAACAAAAGGGTCGCCACCACTCAGCGAACGAGGGACACTCCTGTCACAAGTTTATCTTGACGTCAAATTGTTAAGGACTTGGTAAACAGCGACTGCTCATCTTATGATTTGTGTATGAGTTGTGGGCAGGGCTCTCTTAGATCTCTCTAAGAAAGGCTATGTTATGACTGATCACAGACCCTCACCAGCTGTCAGCTGAAGACTTGTTACCGATCTGTCAACTGGTCAACTTGTGTAAACAGTGGAAGGGACTAATAATAACGACAGGTAAATGGATTATAACGGCTCGTCCCCAGTGTCAGAGCCAATAATACATTACATGTTTTATAATTAAAGTAT